GTGAACCACACTTTTAAAAACTTCAGAAAATCAAAAAGTAGATACCAAAAGCAAGAAAGTCACTTGCAGATTTTTCATCAAACTGTTAAATGGATGATTTTTGTCTGTAAAAGGACACAATGGATGGAAGCATCTAGACTGCTGTGATGAGACAACTCTAACATAGACGTGTGCATCAGTGAATCAATAGAGATGGGTTAATCTTCACATCCCTACTGTAGAACGCTCATTGACACTTTAGCTCAGTGGCCAGATAAGTTTCTAATCAGTTTCAAATGGAACTATTTTACCAAGGTCTAACATGATTTATACACCAAACTATGAAGATTTGAGTAAAATGGGATGAAGAGACATACAAATGGGTGACAGTTAAAAACTGAGAAAGATGGTACTTTAAAAAAATGGGGTGTGTTTTTTGTACTTGAGAAAACCAGCAGTTCTACTTCCACCTAAAACCCAACAAAAACACCGTCACATGCAGAAGTGTGTTATCAAATACAAGAAGTCACATTTAAAAGGTTCTTTTCTGACACCCATAAGCACCTTAAGATCCAAACGTTCATCCTGACACACACAGGCCAGCCCATATTCTTCTTCTCACCACGTGTCACAAAAAAAGCACATGAGCTTCTACTTTTTTCACCCAAAGAGCCACACGCCTACAACCTTGTCATTTTCTATGACACTCTCAGTCTCTGTTACCTGCATGCATTAACAAACCCCCTCTGATGTTAAAAATTATACATTCATACATTTGAATAATTCAGATTACTTTAAGAGCTGTGCACTCACACTCTCCCTCCACATTTTTTCCACATGGAATGAGAGCTATTTACCTCAAATCGCATTTGAATAAATCCTATAAATCCTTTCAAAGTTCCCTGAGATAAGCCAATCAAAAGACCCGAAAAGTGGCAAAGTGTCCAATCAAAATTATAAATTCACACTTTCTGCTTACTTTTATTCAAAATAAATGACACAATAAATCAAATTCCAGAGTCTATTTGTAAGACTCAATTTGCTTGAGATAAGAAAGGGGTGACTAATAGCATGAGACACTGAGAAAAGGGGCCGTAATGTAATTTTAAACTTAACAAAAACATTTCATGGAGGAAAGTGTGTGTTCCATCCATAGCAGTGAGAGATGATTCTGTTTGTTTCACAGAAGTCATATATGGCAGACATAATTTACATTAGATGGCCGAACAGTGTGGAACTAAAATCGTTTGGCATTTCCATGAGTGTGTCCAAGAGGGAAGAAGAACTGCAGCGGCAGCATGACCACATTTCTATAAAACAAGGAACTTTCATTTGTTCTTCAGGTTGTTGATTCATTCGAACAGCCTGTCCACCTCCACTCCCTCTTTTTAGCTTTGAAAACAGGACTTATAAATAACCACGGAAAAGTTTTTAATTTTGTTTACGATATATTTAGGATTTTGTTTCAATAAATTGGACGGCTAGGGTCTTATCATCCCCATCAGGGTGTGAAAGTGTGTGTGCATGGGTAAATGTCTGATTGTAGGGCTGGGCGATGTGGCCTAAAATCAATATCACAATAAATCGAGGATTTCAACTCGATAACAATAAATGGACGATAACTATAGAAATGTGCAGAAACAAAAGTTGTCCACTAGGTGGGGCTGACACGTGTATTAAGTTGAGTCACATTTTTACGTGACTCAAGGTGGTACTGCTTCTTAGAGGGAACGTTGCCAACCTTCTCACATCTTTTCTTTTTTTTAATTTATCAAATTTATTGACATGGGAAAAATTATCACGATAAGAGTCAGAAATTTCGATAACGATAAATTTTCGATTTATTGCCCAGCCCTATATGATTGTGTTGTAAAACACGTACCTAGGGGGTGCTCCAGTACTCTTAAGGCGCTGGATCAAAAACAGACCTTTTACCATTTACTGTTAAACTCCTAGTGACTATGCCAGGCCTGCATTTGGTGCTGCTCTTACACCACATTGCACTCAATAAGCCATTCTAGGTATGAAGGTTAACCACAACAAACAGAGGAGGAGGCTATCTTGGTTTTTTTTTATTCTTGAATCTGTTTTTAATAATGTTTCTCTCCAAATCATTTTTCTTGTTAAAAATAATTTAAAAATCAAAAAATTATTTTTGCGTATTCATAAAACATCTTTCCCAGAATGTATTTCAGCTCATATCATTTAAGGATCTATGTTTTAAAAACACACCAAGCTGAATTTGTGTCAAGTGACAGAATTTGGCCTCATTAGGTATGTTTTGTCTGCTGGAACCTGTTTTTAGAGCTGTCACGTGGCTCTAGTTCAAATGTGCATTCTGAGAAATGATGAATCATAAAGAAGGAAACTGAAAAGCATCAATTAATTATTTAGTTTGAAATCACTGCAAAAGGACTAAATGGAGACGGATGACTCGCAGTGGCAACCGTTGAAGAAGAAGAAGAATTTTAAGAACTCTTCTTAAACTGTAAGTTTATTGTTATGCTAAAATGTCTTTTCTTATTGCAAACAAGTTTTACCAAGTTCAATGACGCTACTGCTCTGGTAAATAAATAAATAGCTGTTTTCATCACATCTGTAATTTAGTTTCCCATGTGACCAATTTCCTATTGGAAGCTGAGGCAAAGTGAGTGTGATGTAGAAACAGGAGGACCAATATGACTAACGTGTCTTACAAAATGATGAAAATATCCTCCGTTTCTAACCTCCAAGTGTAAAGGTCAGGTGTATTTTCACACACATCACGCATGCATTTTAAAAAAGGGAAGAAGAAATCATAACAAGGTCCAGACAGCTGGTGAGTTTGCCCTTGACGGACCAGCCTGTGGCAGTGGCAGGGGTGCAGCTGTTTTAGAGGGTTCTGGGTGGGATTAAGGATGACATGTCCTTGACAAGGGTATATTCTCTTTTTGATTGTGTTTTTTATATTTAATGTAAAGCCATGCACAAATTATAAAAAATCTTACAGAGGTACAACAAACAAAAACATTATATTCAGGTTTAAATTAAATAGGATTGCAGCTCTAAAAATTATTTTCTTCCCACTTCGGTTGTACTGTTCCAGAGGCTCTCTTGTTGAATGCCCCATCTGATCAACAACTCTTCATGTTAATCGGAATATTCTCATCCGATACGGCCCGATCGGAATGAAATTTCATTTAGATTGAAAGAAGTGGTTTTGTCCGATCATCATATTAATTGATGTCCATGTACACATGCATTCGGATTGTTGGAGTAAAATAATGCCTACTGCGCATGTGTGCTACTTCAGTGTGATGCCTTTCCGCCTTTGCAGACGCTCAGGACAAGTGAAAAACATGGCGGGAGGTAAACAGAAGTGGTCTATTGCAGAAAAAGATGTCCTGTTATGATATTGGACTTCATTCGATATCGGCCCAAAAACAGTGTAGTGGATTACATCGGACGACATAAAAAATCTCCAAAATAAGCAGTCTGTTAAGGTTAGCATTTTTACAACCAATGGTTAAGAAAAAAATTGTCTTTTTATTTTTTCATACTTACCTTTATTGGCTCTTGTTCTCCGATTGAGTAACATCACTTGATCAAGCCTTTCATACATTCCACACAATGAAATAGGTAAAAGTGTGTATGATTTGCGCTGATATTGTATCAGACTGATATCGGTATCGGTCAATACTGAAGGCTGCAATATCGGTATCATATCAGAAGTGAAAAAGTTGTATCGGGACATCCCTAGTTGCAGACACATTTTTTTTTTTTTACTGGAAACACTACGGGAGCTCAATATTATTGAACATCTCGATGACCTAAAGGATAGAATGGAGAAGTAGCATTACGTACTGCTGAGCCTGTAGCTGAGTTGAAGCGATCAGTAAAAACAAAAACACACAGGTAAAAACGCAAAGAAGGTCCATAATGGGTCCTGTAAAAGGTCATTTTACCACCTACTGGCTCAAGAAAATGATTTAAAACTCTCTAAATTAAACTTAGCAGCAGTGTTGTTGAGCTAACATCTCGTGGGGCTGTAACTGCTAGCCACCAACGGATTTCGTGAAGGAGTTTCTAAATAAAAATTTGACAAGACTTCTTAAGTTACTTTTATGAGCTGCAGGGTTTCATTCTTTTCTTTGCCAGAAAAGTTTTTTTTTCTTCTCAAAATAGTTACCGAGTCATTTGAAGCATCTGAAACTCGTCTCAAACCCTTCTCAATAGAGTTTCCATGACACTGATGGTGGGAAATGTATAACAACATTGCAACAAAAAATAAATGACATAAAAATAAATGTTGCCTTTATTTATTTTTGCTGTTTTGACACATACATGTGTCAAATGTTTGTGTCTCCAACTAGTTGCCAACAATGGGACTGTGACAAAAGTGAAGCTGCCTATTTGTGATTTTGTGAAACGTTACTGTGGTTTGACAAAAGTAGTTGATTAATTTTAAACTAAAATATTTAAGTAAAATAATAAATCACTATTATTGTTTTTGGGTTGCTTCTCTTTAAATGTGGCTGATAAACTCTAGTCTAACATAAGAATACATGCTAACAACCTGTTTAATACACAAGTCATAAAACTAAATATACACATCCTCTCAGATGAGATATCCAGCCTCTCGAGTCATCAATGTGTAAACTTGCCCTTGTCTGACCCGCCTGAGGCTCAGATAGAAGCCTGCTGTGCAGTTTGGGATTCTGGGAGTGCGCTCTTAAGGAACAGATGCCAGGGCACAACAGCTGTTCCTTTGGCTCCGAACTCCAGCCAACTGGCTGGAACCTTTACCCAGGAACGAAAGCATCAACATGTGTTTCTAAAACCTCCACCTCCTAATAGGACACACTCAATCTAAACACAGAACCAGGAAAAATATCCAGCCTCTCTAAAAACCATTGTTTAAATCTACAGCATAATAAGGGCGTGTGTTTGGAGCTCCTTTTTGTACCTCTTGTCATTTTCTATGGTGTGCGTGCATGCGTGTGTGTGCCTGCACGTGCTTGTGTGTAAATATGTTTACTCACCCTGGAACGACTGTCTGGCTCTCTCCACGAGCTCCTCTATGGGATAGCTGGCCAGGTCTCCTCTAGCATGTTTAGTCTTGCAGTAGGTGCATGCATTCAGACACCTAGACTCCCAGGAACAGACACAAAACAGAAACAATCATTACCGCTGGCAAGGAAAAACAAAGAGCAGCCATCTTAAATCAAACAGCATTTTGGATGCTGTACTTTGTGATTCAGTGCAACTACATTATTTTTAGTTTTGTCTTCTAAATAAATCAGCTATCAAGAGTCGATGTGGACTCGGATCAGCTAAACCTGGGCATAAACATAGATGAAGACCAACGGGAACAATGCAAAAATACAAATCAACCATGAACATATTCTATTTCTACTGAGGAGAAACACCTGTGAAAAAGAGGGAATCAAAGCTGCCCTTTTCTTGGTAAACTGTTTTAAAGACTTTAGCTAATTCCTAAATAGCCGTGGACCGCTGTGGTTCAGGCTAAGGCAAGCAGCACAGTGGCTCCTCTCAATGATTGTTTTGTTCTATCAAAATACAGAAGCTTAAAGCAAACGGACCATGAAAAGAACAGACAATGAAGCTGAAAAAAGTATAAACTGACACACCATATGTAAATGCATGGCGCGGGACAGCCTGTGAGGGGAGGGCTTTGTTTGAGTGAAGGGGACTTTCCTTCATGTGTGTAAATCACTAGTCAAAGAAAGACCTGCATTGATAAATAACACATTTCTGCAGGAATTCTGACCTTCAATTTGTCATACTGGGTTAAAAATACTGACTTTCAACACAATCGTCTCTTTAATAAAGATTGCACTGAGAAAACATTTCTGCTGCTTCAGCTGGCTGCAGCAACATGCTGTTGAGTCAGTGTGGCTCATCTAACAATCAGAATAAAACATGGCAAACTACCAACTATTAATGACTCACAGTTCATCTGCTTGCAATGAAAACAACATTCGTGTACACAAAATATGAATAACAATCTCTTCAATACAAGTGGTACAAACACGGTTTAATGTGGGATTCGTACACTACAGAGCCTGAGTAAAAAGATCCCGACACATTGAGAGCATGAAAGAGGCTCCATTCACACTGAATTAGGACTTTACTGTAACTTAACCAGAACATGGACGGACTTGGGAACACAGGTGTGCTCCCCGTTAAGTCTAATAGGTTGACATTTATTTGGAGCATGCACAAAAGCTCTGTAGGGAAGTCGTCATTGAAGTCTATAAGGATCTTGTTGGACCAAATTGCAGCAGCAAAACTTGTTTGCTGACAGTTTGAAACAGAAATGGCCATACTGGCTTCCTGCCTAGGCTACATCCCATTACCCCATCAGCACTGTTTGAGCACAGCGTGACAGCATGTAGCTGCATCCTGTCCTTCAAACAGTCTTTGCATGCTATACCTCAATCTGGTGTTAACTCAAAGAAAAGCTCATGTCTAAATTCAATTCAATTCAATTCAAAGATACTTTATTAATCCCAGAGGGAAATTAAGAGTTTCAGTACTCACAATTCTGAGATCAGACATACATACATAGACATAGACACAAGACAAGAATTGGTGACTGTGGTCATTCGCAACCCGAGTCGCGCTGCCTTAATAGAGATCAGAGGGGTTTACATGAGGATTGGGTCAGGTGGAGGAAAAAAAGGCACTTCATAGGGAGGGCAGCTTTGCTATGCAAAAAACACCTCAGACAGAAATGCAACAGACTTCAGACATTACACAACATAAATGTCCACTAGGTGGGGTGGTAGGGTTTGGGACTCTCCACACCTCAGTGAATGCAGCTGCGATAAGCAGCGCTCGTCACCTCAGTCTGGACAGTGGCAGGAGGTAGTTGGGTTTGGAGGGCACAGTGACTCCTGGAACGATTCAGCGGCCTTCACAGCTCGCAGTCCCGCCCAGGCTGGGATAAGGAGACAGAGTTGCCATGGCGACGGCAGCATTCCACATTTCTTCTGAGGGGGGTATTCGTTTCAGCCTCACAGGCTCAAGGGCACCAGATTCAGATAAGAAATTGTTTTGGGGCCAGACAAAGATAATTTCTTCTCTGTCTCAGAGTTCCGCTGGTCCTCAACCTCTCAAAATCCAATAATGGCGTAAATTATTCTATCCCAATCCGTGCTGATTCGTCCACTCGCTTTTTGATCGCATCCATCTTTTGTGCCAAAGCATGAATCTCAGCCAAAGTTCCAAGCTTACGACCCATCTCAACAATTATATGAGTCTGTGCGTTCACAGCGCGGTGCAATCCATCTCTGAGCTCAGGGAAAGAGCCAATGTTCCTTGACAGCTCGTTAATTTTCCGGTAAGTCAGGTAACCTCTAAGGCCAAAAAGCAGGAAACCTGAGACCAATACCACGAATATCCAGACATCTTCAGAATCCTCTACAGACAGTTGAGAGAGGCAGATCATGTTCCACTGTTTCCAGGAGTCCATGATATGCCCAACTGGATCTGTCCCAGAGGGGCACCCGGGAGCCCCTTCTCCCGTTCTCATCGTTGAGAAAATGTTGTCAATGGCGTTGAGAGACCAGCTGACCAGGTCCATTTTTAATTATTTCCAGTTTCCAGAAAAAATGCAGAAGTGCCGTACACCCAAAGACAGACAAAGAGCCTTGGGGATAAGATAGGGAGGAGAGGAGGAAAAAAGCGTCTGTACTCTCCAAGAGCCGGAAGAAGAAAAATAGTCCAAAGTTGGTGCCAAAGCCAGTTCATATGAGCTGCCGCCATCATTGTCGCATCATCCCACCCACCAAACCGATAAGAGTGCTGTGACTGGCATGACACAATGAAGTGTGGCTGGACCAACTGCAGAGCCCAGTCCTTCTGCTCCTGCTATGATCTGCCTAGATTTCTAGGCTAGGTCATCTCAACTGAAGCTAGAAAAGGAGGAAAGATTGCTTGAAGGTATATTATTTTACCACCAGTTCTCAGTTTTCAAAAGCACACTAATACTTTGTTTAAAATGCAAACCACAACTGCTAAATCATTGAGAGTGCTCTAATAAAGTAGCTGTTGTTTATCTAAATTAAGTCATCTATAAAAAGTTAAACAGTAAAATTAATCATTTTCTTACTGATTACACCATAAACAACCTACATTCTTCATGTCTGAGCGCACATTTTCCACTGCATTCATCAAACCATTAAGAAAAACCACCTGCTATGGTATTTTATTGGTAACTTTTGTGCTGAGTGACCAAAATGATAAGAGCATTATTAATGTTAGAAATCAGAAGAAAGGAAACATAGCTGTCTGTCCATCCATCTCCCCCTCTTATGGGGTATTGCTTATCCTAGCTAAGGGCACTGGAGGTGGTAGCTGGGTCACAGGACCTAGCTGTGGAGAAAACACAGACAGATGGGACCCTGCACGCGCGCGCGCGCGCGCGCGCACACACACACACACACACACACACACACACACACACACACACACACACACACACACACACACACACACACACACACACACACACACACACACACACACCACCAGGGGGTCCGTCCATTCTAATGTGATCAGGCCCAACTGAGTGGATCACACCAACATTAATCTCAAGAGGCATTCAGTGGCTTGAGTCTGTGCTTGTGTGCGTGTGTGTGTGTGTGTGTGTGTGTGTGTGTGTTTGCATCATCTGTTTTATGAGAGTGTGCTCATATGCCCATGCAAGTGCAATGCTGCAGAACATTTGTCCAGTATCTCCACACAGCATTAGCTGTTTCAACTTCTCCTCCAGCCTAAGCAGACTGTCAAAACTAGTTGACGCCAACAAGACTTCAAGTAAATTTTAAATGGCCAAAGGTTACATTTACTACTTTAAATCTTTTATTTGACTTTGCTTTGCCCAGGAAGGTCTGGAACATAATGCTCTGAATCAGAAAATGATCAGAATGATACAGAAGAAGCAACTTGAAAATAAAAATTTAAACTACTGACGTTTATTAGGCATTTCATACACAATAAACATTAGTTGGTCTTTTCAAAAAGTTTAATGAAAAAAATTTCAGCAAAGAGCTGAAAACTGGAACATTTGACCTCCAACTGAATATGGATCTAACTGAGAAACAAAAAGCTTGCTGCACAACGTCTGGTAGAGAAAGCCAAAACACAATTAAGTATGAGTGTATGTATGTCACATGTGTGTACTGTGTGTTTTTTCCTGATCTGGGAACAGCACCGTTAGATCCACGTTGATGCATAAGGGTCAGTCACTGTGCTAAAGAGCTAATCTCATAAGAGACCTGATGCTAAACCAACCAGCTGAATTAGCTGAGAAAAACACACGGACTCAGATGGTGCTGATGGTGCACTGGGCTGAAATCACACCAGTTGAGTAGTGTATGTAGCTTTGTGCATGTTTTCACACACTTGACCATTCTGTTGCTCCAGAGCTTCAGCAACAACTAGACAGCCTTTCTAAAAATGAATCCTTCACGTTTTGAGTCAAAGCAAATACCAGAATTAGATAAAACTCACACTTGAAGGTTCAACGAGTAATCATCATTATCTCTATGTTGAAAGGAAGGTTACCTTGAAACAGATTTCCTTCTAAGTCAGCTGAGGGGTGACCAGTTATTCTACTTTTAAAAAGGTCAAAGAAAAACAAAAGTAAACTTTATTTTTATTTATTAATTTATTTAGTAGTCTTTGTCTACATCCAGAGCCAATCGCATTTGAGACAGCAGGGTTGCCAAGTCTACGCCGGCATTTGCAGTTCGACACAGATCGGTAAATAGGAACAGTGTTGTAAGAAAAAAAAAGTCAGTAACAGGAGTGGCCCAGAAGTCATTTTTTACCCCTAGAAGCCACAACATATTTTGTATTACTCTAATATTGTGGAAAGATGGCTAGAGGCTAACAATGCTAACACTGAAATAAAACCGCTCAAAAAACTTTCAGGCTACAACTACAAAACTCTTGACTCTTCTAGAAGTGTACATTTAAAAAAAAAACAAGTATCAAACTATGCTTGTGTAAGAATTGTTGAATGAATCAAACCACCAGTTTATATAACGTATAAACTTTCTATCACCCATTTAAACTTTGAGTAATATTTCAAGAGTTGAGTTTGCCTGAGCTCAA